CCCCAGGCCAGCACCCAGCTGAGCAGCCCCATCACATCCCCCACCCAGTCCCCGACGCCGTCGCCCGTCACCAGCCTCAGCAGCGTCTGCCCGGGGCTGAGCCCCCTCCCCGTCCTCGCCCAGTTCCCCCGGCCCGTGGGCCCAGCACAAGGTAGGGGCAGGGGCAGGCTAGGGGGCAGCTGCCCCCGTGCAGGCCCAGGGGCTCTGGGACAAGGAGGGAGCCCCTAGTCTCTGCAGGAGGTGGGGCTTGGAGCCCCATGGGCCAGACCATTGGTCAGTCTCTGCAGGTGGCAGAGTTTGGAACCCCATGGGGCAGGGGCATTGGCTGGTCAGGGCCAGGGGGTGGAGTCTGGAGCCCCATGGGGTGGGGCCACTGGCTGTTCAGTGCCAAGGGGTGGGGTCTGGAGCTCCATGGGGCAGGGGCATTAGCTGGTCAGTACCAGGGAGCGGAGTCTGGAACCCCATGGGGTGGGGCCATTGGCTGTTCAGTGCCAAGGGGTGGAGTCTCCAGCCCCATGGGGTGGGGCTATTGGCTGGTCAGTGCAAGGGGGCGGAGTCTGGAGCCCCCTGGGGTGGGAAGCACAGGCTGCTCCTGTGGTGGGGAGCTGGCAGGGACCCCCACCAATCACTGCTCCCACCGGGCAGGCGACGGGCGCTACTCGCTGCTGGGGCAGCCTCTGCAGTACAACCTGGCACTGTGCCCCCCCCCGCTGCTGCACAGCCAGCCCGGCTACACCTCGCACCAGGTACGGGCACCGGGCAGGCAAGGGGTAGTTCCTACCATGGGAGGGGGCATCTTGAGGGATGGGGGGGAGCTTGGGGTCACCACTGCCCCCTCAGGAGCTCTGGGGAAGGGGGGACGGAGCCCTGCCACCCTGGCTGGCATGGGGGTGGGGGGCAAGTTGGCAAGGGAGTAGGGGGCAGCATCTTAGGGAACACCTCTTTTAACTCTTGAAGAGCCAGACAGGAATGAAGCACGGGAACAGGGGCAAGAGGCAGGCCCTCAAGTCCGCATCCACTGACCTCGGGACCAGCGATGTAGGCAAGTGACCCCCCCCACCCCCCGGGGTATGTCTGGGAGGGGCACGGGGTGTAGAGCCTGGTACCTGGACTCCTTTTCCCTTCCTGCTTAGCCAGGGTATCTTGGCCTGTCCCTCTCCTGCTCTGTGCCTCAGTTTCCCTGCCCACAAAACTGCGCATGGGGCAGCTTCTGCCACAGCTGAACCCTAATGCATGGGCAGGGGATGCCATCCTCCCCCCAGCCCCACTGTCCTTGCTTCCAGCTTGGGGGGGGCAGGGCATGGTCGGGGGCTGGGAGCCAGGATGCCTGTGTTCTCTCCTGGCTGGCTTCACCCTAGGAGCTGGCTCAGCACTTGCTGTTGGGACCATCCATGACACCCCCGTCCTGCAGGACAGCTGCGGGCCACGCTGCAGCGCCACAGTGGAGCCTCTTGCTCTCTCCGCCCCCTGCTCCCCCCACCCCATGAAACTGGAGCCAGGAGGGGGCGTTTGCTGTGCCCGGGTTAATATTAGCAAGGAATTCAGCTGGCCGGGTCCGGGCCCAGCCGGGGCCTTCTTGCCAGGCAGGGCCACAGGTGGGGGTGGCTGGCACGGGTGCTGCTGGGACTTGTCCCCGGCCGCAGCCGTCACAAAATCACCACCGTGCCCAGGCCTCGCCCACTGCGCTGGGGGGGAACTCAGGCGTCCGGGCTCCTAGATCCCCTCAGGGCCAGGGATGGGCCCCCCGTGGCCCCCCTGCCTGACGCCCGTATCCCTACAGTGCCGGGCCGTGTGCTGGAGGTGACGGACCTGCCCGAGGGCATCACGCGCAGCGAGGCCGACAAGCTCTTCACGCAGCTGGCTATGGCGGGCGCCAAGATCCAGTGGCTGAAGGAGACGCGGGGCCGGCGCGGGGCAGGCGCGGGGGCCGGGGACGGGCGCGCGGGGCCTGAGAACGGGCGGCACCCCGACCTGG